TTAGGGGTTACAGATAAAACTGCCAGAACGCAATTATACAAGGAAATGTTAAAAAATCTACCTGGTATTACATCAGGAAACTTGCGTATGAAAACTTTAAGAGCTAAAAAAATTCGAATGCTATTTGGGGAGAACGGAGTTGGAATAGATAAAATCAAACAAGTTACCTACAGTATATATGCTATCTCTACTCTTACTAATAGCCAAATTCAAAACGTTATCAAGAATGTAACTTCAGCAAAACCTTTATCAGAAACCAGCATGAATCATGAAAATCAAACTAGTGCTGAGATAAGTATACCTACTGAATTTCAAGTTTCCGATTCATCAAGCTCTGAACCATCTCAAGAAAATGATCAAGATGAGTCAAAGACTCGAAGCTCTGCTAATTCAGAAACAGAGCCACCTATATCCCAGGTAAATATATCTAACAAATCCCGACTGCCAATTTCTATTTTACCTAACAATCCTGAGGAAAAACGAAAACATGTAATAAAAATGGTATTGGAACGATTCACTAATTTATCTTTTAAACGTAGTAGTAAATACACTGATCATTTCAATTGTACAGAAACATGTCCCGTATGTAATGAAGAGCATAAAGACGATAATGTCAGTGGTGAATGGGGTAGTGGTGATTATTACGGTGAAGAAACTTATCGTCTTTATTGTAGGAAGGTATATCAGAATAGAATCCAAGTGGTAACTGTGAAAAAAGAGAATATAAAAGAAAAGCGGAAGGACCTTATCAACAAGGTATTGAAGCAGTATCCGGGTATATCTTTGAGTTGTAGTACTAATTCTAATGATATATATCATTGCAACACGTCTAAATCCTCATGTCCGTCTTGCAATTTAAATCATAAGGAAAATATCGTAGGCCAGTATGAGAGGGGATCTTATAATATCAGATGCATGTTTAATTACACAGGTGGAATTGATGTAACAGCATAAATAGTCACGTAAAAATAAAAAATAAACAATGGCAAGCATGGGACCCCCACTTTATTATTATAAAAATAATATTGCCGAATCAATATACAAATAAAAAAATACATCACAGTTGCATACTACAAACAAAAATATGAACTATTTATTAATTTTGATTTAGCCTTTCTTGTCGTTGTCCAGGATTCTCATACTCATTGGAATCATTTTCCTCACACCATTCTGAATATTCTTCAGAAAAATTATCCAAGGGTCTGCCTTCATTAACGTTATAGTCATCATCTTCTCTGGGGTCATAGGTCGAATCATCTAAATTAATGTGATAAATTATATTTTTTCAGTTTTACTAAAAGTTACACTAACATACTTAATTGCCTTTAACTTTAGCGGAATTTTACTTGCCATATCGGTTTCTCCTACTTCTACGTTGACGATTGGAATTAGATGTCCTTTGGCTAGGTCTTGGATTGGGTGGTGTTGGGGGGACATAATAGGTCTCGGAGGGGTTATTGTCATTAGTCATGGAAGTGGTGGTGTTATTACTCGTGGTGGCGTTATTATCATT